CTTTGCTGTTAGACTGTGTTTTGCTGTGTTTTTGAATGCTTCTGAAAGAAATGAAGTTTACCTGTTTACAGAGGCTGTGTGCTTTCTGAGAGACAGGCCTCTGCCGGTGGAGACAGGACAAGTGCTGATGACAAAATGAGACCCACTAAATGACAAAGAACTTCAGAGACTATGTAGGAGAGCAAGGGAGAAGGGGGGAAAAAAGTTCCCTGCCCAATCAGAAAGCTTTGAATAATTAAACTGATCGGCTTAATTAGCTCAATTAAGTTAATTTGACCACGGAACATGGCCATATGGTAAGAGGAAACAAAAGAGGGGGGAACTAATTAAAAGTAAAATAATGAGGATTTTAATTAACTGGTTCCCCAGACGTCAGCATGCAGGGATCTGGAGCCTGGTACCATAATTAAAGTGCTGTAACGCTGGCAACATTTCTCCTCTCATTTTTTTTTTTTTAGAACTGTGAGGGCTCCATCCATCTAATTAAATCTGTAAATAAATTAGCAACATTGAGGGTTCCTGCTTGACTTAGCATCTCCTGTGCCCCACCCCCCACCCACTCCCCCCCAATAACAACACGCAGACACCCTCCAATGAACTTGTCTGCAATGAAGTAAATTAGTAATGAAATGTTGTGTCAAGGTAGACACAAATGTGCTGTTTGTGTGTCCTCTTGTGCGTTATATGCGGAAGATGTGGACGTTCTTGTAAACACTCAAGAAGACAGAGCTGGAAGTATGCTTTCGTTAGGTGGGTGTGGTCGTTTGGGTGCAGGTACATGGTCGTGGTGTGTGTGTGTGTGTGTGTGTTTGTGTGTGTTCCCATTCACCTGTACAACTGGGGATGTTGGTGACATACACATGCGAATAGGGGACATGATAGTGAACAGAAGACATAAAGTCCCTGCTTCCTTAACACCTTTAAATCATGTGGGTGCATGTTGTGTATTCTTAAGTGCATTTATTCTGTGTGTGTGAGTTTCAATGTATGTGCGCCAGTGTTTTTGTGCACGCCTGCCTGTGCGTGTTTGTGTGTCCGTTCCTGTGTGTGCGTTTGTGTCAGTGTGTCTGTGTGGTGGGACAGACTCCTCTCTGCACAGGCTGGTCTGGGTGCTTGCCACCTCCTCCTCATCTTGCTGTTAAATTGCATCAGCCCAGCGTGCCTCCTGAGCAGCTACCACACGGTATCCGACGGCAACACCCCCCCACAGCCCACAGCCCACAGGCCAGCAGACAGTTGTCTGTTGCAGTGCACATTGACCCTGGGCCCCCCTACGGTCCCTGGTCCACACCGCACTGTGACAGGATTTGTGTAAATTCAGTAAGGCTTGTCCTTCTGGACGTGCCTCGTTCGCATCCCCAGCGCTTCCCAGACCATGATCTCGCCCCCCCCACCACCCCCTGCCATCCCCAGTCACTACCAACAGCAGTCCCTTTCTCAGGAAACACGTTTTTAATTTAAGAAGGCATTCAGGTTGACAACGGAGTAATTTGCATATTAAATTAGCAGCCACTTCAGATGGCTCTGAACGCACTGTAACGAAGCCAATTCTACAAAGAACTGAGCAAGCTCACATTTATTTTCCATTGCTGTTGCTGCTGTTTGACAGGGTGTGTGTGTGTGTGGGTGTGTATAGGGAGATGAAACACAGGAGAAATGTTTAAAGTCTCATCCATAACCAGAGATTGTAGCACAAACTTAAATTCATCTCATTTCTCAATCTGCACCTCTGACTTCCTCAGGTCGTCATTACCAATGATGATCAAGGTTCGAAACAGGGGCAGACTTCTAAGGGACAAGACGGTAACAAACAGCACTGCTACCAGCAGTTAGGGCTGGTCTGTGCATGCATATCTCAGGTGAACACTTGGCTGTCAGTAGGAGTGCTGTACAGTGAGGTTTACTGAACGAACCAGAAACGACACAAAGCTGGCTAGGCTATGCAGTTTGTACACTTCTGGATTAGAAATCCATCCGTACGAAAAGGACTGACCCACAGACCCACCTCGCGTCCCTGCCTCTGTGGTCCGGACACACAAGGCGAAAAATCCCGACAGTCACAAACTCCTCTGGTCACAAGGGAGTTTTGGTTTTCTGGGGGCTGTGTCTGGCTGCGGAACAGCAGGGCCTAAAGCTGGCTCGACTGCTCATGCTGACCCCAGGAGCTAATTAAGGCTGATTAAAGCATTAATAAGCCCGGGCCACATCAAAGAGCTGTGGGGAAGGGGTGGGAGGGTGGGAGGGCTTTTTTGGGGGGGTGGTGGATTTGGGCTGTATACACTGATAATAATGGGGTGGTGGGTGGAGAGAGTGACTACTTCCTTTTCAGGACAGAATGCCCAAGAACTCCTTTCACAGTTACTGAGACACAATTCACCTTCTTGCAATGTCAGAGTGATAAAAGCCTGAAGCCTTGTCCCATGTAAAGTTTGTTCCCGCAGGTGCAAAGAAACTCCATATGAAATTAATGTAACCTGTACAACTTTTTATAATGAAAAACCATCTAAACAAACTGCTGACATATACAGTACTTTTTGACTGATTCTTTGGTTACCTTGGGAAATCCTGTAACGTTACATTTCTGTTCAGAATCTGCTAATTGAGCATATGCATAAATTTTGGGTTGTATGTCTGATTACTCTTAAAGTGTGGGACCACTGCATACTAATATAAAACTACTTACATATTTCAGCTCCACACATTAGGTACAAACTCCTTGGTATCTGTGGTATGAGGTAATTCATGGCTGTCAGTTCTGCTGCACCATTGCAAAATGAGCTGAACTATGAGGCCTGTAATAGTTGGTGACTCTCGCTGTGTGTGGTGAGTTTTGTCCACTCGTGCTTTTCCCGAGGTCCTTAAGAAACTCATTATCTCAGTAATCCCTGCTAATTACACACACATACACACACACACACACACACACACACACACACACACACACACACACACACACACACACACAGAGGCCTAGGACCTCCCCCTTTGTCTCTATAGCCACAGGCTACACACAACAACAATAAGAGCTAGAGAGAGAATAGTACATACTTTTTTCCCCCCAAGATAGACTGTGTCCAATTCTGTCAAATTTTTTGAAGACCACACTGTTCATTTCCTGGGGGTCGGGTCTGAGAGACCCACTGGCAGTTTAGAGGTTTAGAGGTTTCACAGGTGGGTGCAGCTATCGTGTGCTTTCAATCACTGACTTGCATGAACCAATCAAGAGACTTTGCTTTAGGCTACTGAAAAAAAAAACAACTAATTGGTTCAAGTCACAGAGTCACTGACAACAAATGGTAGCTGCACATATTTCAGGGTCCTGGAGGCCTCAAGCTCACACCATTGCCAGCTTGGAGTGGAACCTGACTGTCAGCCAACAACCTCTGAACAAGACAACAGTCAGTCCCTGCCAAGTTAAGCTCCAATGCCATTCTCCCTCCCCCCCGTAGTCCTCCTACAATTAGTCCAAATAAGAGCTAAAGGAACAGTTTAGCACAGAGGAAATCTATAGGCAGAGCAGTTAACTAACATGCACAGTTCAGTTCTGAAAAACACCTGATACAATCTGGACATCCGTGGACATGTGGCCCAGCACACAGCATGTCATTAGGTAGAGACCGCTGGCCCATGTCCGCAGACTAACACAGGGAGATGCAGTGGTTAGTAGGCAGCTACACGTGAATAGCAATAAGCAGCCCTAATTCAAATTAGAAACAGCAGACTTTGTTCTAAAATCCTGAACAAAACAAGTGCACCCTTTCCTAAGTATACACCTCTTGCTGTGGACGAGGGGAAAAGGTGTCATAACATGAACGGAAATAAATACTATCCCACAACGTTTCCTATTCATGACAAAGTTTATCTTAAGTGCGGCTGAGAAAATGGTGACTGTGCATGTGTGTCAGTGTATACCACATCACCTAGCCAGTAAAAGACTAACCATTACTAAAAACAATGTACTTACACGTGTCACAATTGTGCATTGAAAAAATCATAGCTCGCGGTATGAAGTGGGTGCGTTCCATAAGGTAAATTTGTTATCAGAAGTGTGGTTACCAGAGTCAAACATGACCTGGTATGGGGAAGACTTACGAAAATTTGGTTAATAGACGAAATTTCGTTAACTAACAACAGAATAACATCAAACGCGCCTTGCACATGAAATACATATCTATTTAAGTATACATACAAATTGTACCGAAGCTAGCCTGTACATCGCTGCTCCGAACGTGAGGTCCCTTCAGGGGCGAATGTGCTAACACGAACAAACGAGCAACGCCTGCACTTTTTTCGATTATTCGGTTTCCATCGATTCTTTTTCTGCGTTTTAGTTTGAATGTGCCTTACTCAGGTGTTGCTCATCTCACAGTTGCTTTGAACGACTCTTTAGATGTCGCACCATCATCTATTAAAGAAATTAACTGACGCAAAAACCCTTAAGAGGTTTACTAAAAGGGAAAACTCGCAAACGGCTTCGCTGTGGCTTTCGATAGTATGGTCATTTCCTGTTTAAATGCGTTTGAATTACTGCCGGTGAGTTTTTAAACAATTGCATTTTAATAACAAAAACACTCAGTCATGAAAGAGTTTCATTGTTTCGTTTCCTTAATCGAAATATGTTTGTGTTGAATTGCAGTTCTTTCCACATATGCATTTCCGTTTTTTTTTAGTTTATGCATAAAAGCCAGAGTTAATTGCCGTGACCCGGATTCGAACCGGGGTTGCTGCGGCCACAACGCAGAGTACTAACCACTATACGATCACGGCAAGCCACCCACCAACTGTGAGTGACACCTCAGACTGTACCATACCTGTGTGTAGCTTTTAATGTGTTATAAATACCGGGGAGGAACTATCATATATGGGACAAAGAAGAGAAAATGCACGTGTCGAACAATAGTGATACCTTTTCTATATCACCGAGTCACGTATTTATCAGAAAATTCAGTATTCCAAAGCGAGCTTTTTTTTGTTTATTCATAAAAGCCCGAATTAATCCATGCTGTGATCCGGATTCGAACCGAAGTTGCTGCGGCCATAACGCAGAGTACTAACCACTATAGGATCACGGCAAGCCACCCACCAACTGTGTTGAGTGTCCTGACAAGTACTGAACTGTCCGTGTGCTTCGGAAATATGATTTTTTTTTCTATTCAGTTATATAAATTGATGATATGTAAAATAACACTGAGGAAAAATAATGTGGAAAGCTGTGTAAGTTACTTAAAAGTTTACGTTTTTAAGTAGTTTGAAGAGGAACCTCTCAGTTGGCCAGCAGATGGCTGGTTACCTGGTCATTTCCTGCGTGGCTGACGCATGAAAGCATCGCGCGTGGGCACGCGCCAGGCTGGTCCCCGGCTTTGATCCGCACCTTCCAGTTTGCGGCTGCAAGTTAAGCGCATAGCTGTGGGATGATCTCATCTCGGCACTGTACTGGCGAGCTGCCCGTTAGCCCACAGCTCGGCACCGGCTCATCTGTATTCATTGTAAATGAGCGAGCGCGCTAGCAAGATTTTCAAAAATAATCGTGATCAGTGATTCTCATTTACAGTGTGCGTGCCATCGCTCGATTTGGAGTTTACTGTTCCGCCAAGACAGAAATGTTGTTTTAAGAATAGGCTGACATCTTTTATGATTTTTTATTGATGATAACCCAATAATTATTTATTCAATAATGATTCAATAATGAAAGGACTTAGGTACTGTGCAAGTCAAGCTGTATCGTTCATGAGTTGTTTGCAGTTGGGGGATACTGTCTGGAATCTGTTCAAAACACATGGACTGGGATATACAGGTAATGAATGTTAGAATATGTGGGTAGAGTTCAATTTGGAAACTACTTCACAATATTTCAAAGAGTTGCTACTGGAGAGTGAACCACACGGTTTTTGCAGAAGCACTCCACAACCCCCAACCGTGACTGTAATTTTACTAAAAAAAAAAAACAACACGATCATTAGTGAACCCGTTGATGGTTTTGCAGCTTAGAAGGGGCATGCACCGTCACAGGTCTGGGGTCACCCTGAGAACACGGCCAAGAAAAAAAAAGACCAAAGCCGGGCCCCGCTGCATCCCAGTTTGTGCCCCTCTGCTGGGGAAAACAGCTCCTCCCTTCCCCTCTGTCCCGCGGAGTGTCAGCCAGCCTGTTCTCTGTGGGACGGGGCGGAACACGTGCCTTCATTAGCACTCCTTAATTAGGAACAGATGCAATTTTCAGCACGGGGCTCCCAACACATGCAGCCTGGGCCTGCTCCGAACACTTCACCCAGTCCTTCTGCTCTCCTCAGTGTCACAGTCTATCCTCCCCCTCTCTCTCTCTCACACACAAACACACACACACACACACACACACACACACACACACACACACACACACACACACACACACACACACACACACACAGACACACACACAGATACAGCCTGGGCCTGCTCCTAACATTTCACCCAGTCCTTATGCTCTCCTCCATGTCACAATCTCTCCTCTCTCTCTCTCTCTTTCTCTCTCTCTCACACACACACACACACACACACACACACACACACACACACACACACACACACACACACGCATGCACGCACGCACGCACACACACAAATTTGTCACAGTTCAGAGCTGCGAGTCTAATTAAGGGGGATTTCTGTGGTGTTTAGCTGAATGACTGATCTTCCACCTCTCGCCCCCGTCATTCTCACCCTGTCTGTAATCACCTGGGCGTAGCTATGAATACATCTCCTCCCGGCCGAGCCACGGCATAAAGTCCAATTTGCTTTGAGCGGGGCTTTTTCTTTTTTTGCTACGGCTGGGCCATGAAATATCCACACGCTGCCGTCTGTAGCTGTTCCCAGCTCAGGCTAAGACCATGGGTGCGTAGAACAGGCAAACACCGAGGCGTGCTTTACAACATTGCTACTGGGAGGCGGAGTCCACGGTTGGAAGATTGTGGAATGTTTCTGCGCTAACTCTCTGCACCTCACCTACCAGCAGTAGCTCTTTGAAATATTGTGAAATAATTTACCGGTTCAACCCTCCCCAGATATTCAGATATTCCTTATCTCTCTCTCTCTCATTCTATTTCCTCTTTCCCTCCCTCCCTCCTTTCTGCCTCCTCTTGTTACCGGTCTCTTTCTCTTGGTGAAATTCTGCGGCTCTTCCTCGTTGTTTTGACAAGGCCCTGGACACTGCTTTCTCTTCGCCTCGCCTTTTCACATCTCTCTCAACGCCGTCACATGCCGACAGTGGATTTCTCTGCTTCAACATAACCTCTGGGTGTCTCACAACGCGAAAAAAGACATAGGGGGAGAAGGGAGCAGCTATGGCTTGTGGAGGGAGGGGGTGGGGAGTTGGGGGGGGTAGTGTAAAATATCCTCTGCCACAGACATTCCTATGGGAATATGGAGGAAATTCCTACTTTTTTTTATCAAGAACAAAAAACCCCTCAAAAAAGCAGTCGAAGAAAGTGAGATGGAGAATCCCAAATGATCTTTGCTGAAAGCCAGCCTGCAGTTCATCCAGTAGCCATGCTCTAGCATCAGAATGCCTGGCCAGAGTAAACAGCCCCTACCCCTACCCCTGCTCTTTCACAGGAGAAGTATCTGAGCGCAATGTGCATCCTTCCATTGTGGCTGCTGTTATTTTGAGGAGCAGGCCTTGAAGCCAGAAAGGCTGCCAGTTCAATTCCCCAGTGGGCCACTGCTGTTGTAACTGTTGTGCTGTTGTGTAAGAACGGATGATATGCAAATGGCGTAAGTCACTCTGGATAAGGGCGTCTGCATAGCCACAAAGTAATGTGATATGAGCAACATAATGTAATACTGTCTATAAACCAGACCTGAGTCTTTGTTCACAAAAGTCTTTCAGACTAGAGGTCTAGTTTCTCTCACTTTGCTGTCCCACCATTTGCTGCAGACCCAGGCGTCTTTCAGCGGTGGACCCCACCAACGCAGGTCAACACTAGCAACACATGCTCACACTGCTCAGATCCCGCGTGATAAGATTGCTTAACCCTCCATTTCCTGTTTGATGACCGGCGCTCTGGGCTGCTTCGCCCAACCCTTTCCAATGGGTTGAGCAGCCAATCAGAACGCAAGAATGTGTTGCGTTATAAGACTGCAGGTGGATGGATTACCCAGGAGGCCGTTTCGTTCACTGCCTTTCGCAATGGTGTTGAAACGTGTGGACCGTACGAGCCCGTAGACCACCCCCCACCCCCCGCAGATTCCAGCCGGTCAAAGAGGGACAGGCTGTTCCTGCACTCCCTCATTTCGGCTAATTTTAGAGCCAAGCTGTGCAGCCAGGGCCACGAACCCAATTGCCAGGACCCACGTTACCCCCACTACCCCCTTTCTTGTGAAGGGAGTGAAGGGAGGCAGCCTAGACACAATATCACTAATTGCCCATTAAAGTTAACACACACGCCACCCCGGCCAAGAGCTCTAATTAGACCCCTAAAAATAAAAAAAGAGGCTTTATGGGGGACGCTGCAGTGTTGGGAACAGTTCTGGAGGCTCTCGTTAACCCTGGCCTAATATCCCAGTCTGGGCTACAGATGCCCCCCTTTTCCACCCACTCCAACAATGGCTTGGTCCAGCCCGGCCCAGCTGGGTGCTGGCACTCCGCTGCTCGACCGTAAGGCTGCTGGTTCTGGTCCTGAAAGAAACCCCGCATAACCCGGCCCTTCAGTTTCACGGAAGGAGCAGAGAGAGGGGCTGGCGTTGTGGCCCAGCCTGCTTGGCTTGCGGGACCTCAGTTTCTCTGCGTTCACAGTTTGTGCTGGTTACTGGCAACAGGAGGCACACTGAAAGCATGAGAAAAATGTGACACCCCCCCCTCTCCCCCACCCCTACAATGCCTTTGTCCAAATATCCCCCCCCACCCCCACTGCTCTATTTCACAAAAATGAATGCACTGGATACTAGCACTGATGGTCATGGGTTTGAGTCCCCGGAAGGAAATAAGGATATCTGTGTAGCCACAAAAAGAGCTTCAGCAACATGAGCTCAAACAAGCAGCATGGAATTTACTTCCAACGGAAGCACACTCTGAGCAAAGGCGACCCATCAGAGCAATGCCGGCATACACTTTTGGGCAAGACTGCCTCGGTCACAAACATCTCTAAAAACAAAACAGAATGAAATGAAATGAACTGAGAAAGTGAAACGGGTCAGACATGCACCCCTGCCGAGAACTTCCCCAGCCATTGGGGGTGGGGTCACTTAGAGAGATGATTCTGATCAAGCTGTGCTTCAATGCAGAAATGTCAGCCCGTGCGGTCTGGCATTCAGGCGGAGATATCGTTTCGGAGGTGCGTGCCCCCGGTCGGGCAGCGCCAGGCCTCCTCTGTGGACGAACGCCGGCCCTAGCGGTGGGGCGCGGCCATTAGCATTAGCGTTTGATAATAACGGGGTCAGCAGACAGAGATCTTCAAGGGCCGGGGCGAAAGACCACGGAAGCGGGCCTCTTATCCAGGCTGTCTGTGCATTTATGAGGACCCGGGCCGTCTTCCCTCCGCCTGCCTAAATGTCTGCGATCTGCTCCCTCTCTGGATAAGCCCTGCCATCTTGCCCTCCCATGTCATACCACCCCTCTCTGGAAATGCCAGGTGGGGCCATGTGGTAAACGCTACTAGCTGTCCATCACTGAACTCACCCCCTCCCACCCCTGCCTGCCCCCCGCCCCTCCCTCTAGTGAACTGTGGGTTACTACTCCCTCTTATCAGCTTCTGCACACCTGCAACGCCAGACAATAAGGGGCCAGTGCAGGGTGTGTGCGTGTGTGTGCGTGCGTGCGTGTGTGTGTGCGCGTGTGTGTGTGTGTGCACTCAGAAGGTAGGGGAGTTTGGAACCATTCACAGATGCTGTTTTAGCAAAGAAAACACACCTAAAAACAGCAACACAGGTTTTTCTTAGTTTAGACCCAACTAGATTTAAGGCACCTAATGCCCCAGAATTCATTCTCAGAATATGCAAGCGAGGCCAGCTCTTCAGCAATAATCCGGGTTCCTCCTCTAAATAGTCTCACGAATCTACTCTCCAAGTCTGTTTGTGGGTGTGTTCTGGGTTTTTTTCCCTC